CCTTATATTTTATGATAAAAGAAAAAGAAAAAAAAGAGAGAAAGAAGCTATCAACTTACTACTTATTTTTTATTGGACATATAAGAGAATTAAAAAGAATAGAATAAGATACATCATCATTACTATTTTAAATAGTTGCATTATTACTAAATTTTGTTAACTCAAATAATTTAATACTTATTCTCCTTAATAAGGAGTCCAATCTTTATTTTGGACATAAAGTGTATATTTGAAAAAACGTTTTAAATACGTAATCAAAATTTTCTACTTTCCAATACTAAAAGATAGAAGCAAGGGGATACTTACTTTAAGTTTAACGTGTGTTTTTTGGATTTCAATATCAACCCAAACACAAAATCTTAACCTAGATTAGATTATAACTAGAGATATTTTACTTTATCCTTATAGAATCTACTATTTGCATTGGACATGTACATCAACCGGAAGTATAACATGGACACTTGGATACCTTATAACTTGTGTAAAATTTTAAAACATCAATGATATCTTCTAATTAAAGTGTCGAAGAACAGGAAGTTTAGAAATTTCACCAGTAATGGCCATAACATGCAGTGAAACACTGGACAATTTCTAACTGCACAAAATCAGAGCTCTATTTGAACCTCGTAAAACTGTAAAAGCTGTTCCATATATGTCAACGATGATGCACATGTCTCTTACTCTCATTATCAACACTTTTCTTCATAAATGAAGAAGCACTACCAATTTTGCTAGTGATCTAGGTTCACACATCATGAGTGTGTATGAAGTGGAAAGTGCTACATTAAAAGAGAGAGAAAGAATGGATGGGCCAGAATCCATAAACTACATTGCCTGTAGAAAAAATTAGAAAGACGAGTAATACTAGTATTGGGTGAACGTAGCAACTCACTGTACTTTTTATTGAATAAGAGATGGCCTTTAAATAGCCATTGTACAACGTACCAAATTAACAAGAAGATAACAAAATATCTTATCAAAATAAATCTTATAAAAAATTATCTTATCTAAACTGAAACAAATAAAACAGATAAACTAACTCGGATATCTCTAAAATTTAAGATTATCTAACAAAACTCCCTCATAAGCTTAAATTTCTCCTTCTTCTTTCATTCCGAGTAACTTCCTTAACTCCTGAAATGTTGTTGTCGGCAATGGTTTTGTAAAGATATCAGCTACTTGCTCTTTACTTCCTACGTGTTCGAGCTCCACGCTTCCTTCTTTCACCTATTCTCCCTGATGAAATGAAATCGGACGTCGATGTGCTTACTTCTTTCGTGATTGATTGGATTTTTGGCTAACTCGATTGCCGACCTGTTATCTACTCGGATCAATACTTTCTCAGCTTTCATAATTTCCAGTTTGCTTAGCAAGTTTCTAAGCCAAACTGCATGTTGGACACTCCAAGATGCTGCTATATACTCGGCTTCACACGTTGATAGAGCTACGATTGGTTGTTTCTTTGATAGCCAAGTAAAAGTCGTGTTTCCCATGAAGAATACGTACCCAGCTGTGCTTTTCTGATCATCCACATCTCCACACCAATCACTGTCCGAGTATCCAGTAAGTCGGTAGTTGTCCGACTTAGTGAAACACAGTCCAAGTGACATCGTCCCCTTCACATACCTTAGTATCCTCTTCAATGCTTTCCAATGAGAATACCTCGGATCCTCCATAAAGCGGCTTGCAATTCCCACACTTAGCATCAGGTCGGGTCTTGTACTTGTCAAATACCTTAGACTTCCGATTAGGCTTCGGTACCTGCTTGCATCAACTTTTTCAGCTTCTCCATTTTTAGATAACTTCGTTCCAGGTTCCATGGGAGTAGAAACTGGATTGCAATTCAGCATCTTTGCCTTGCTCAAAATCTCCTCGGCATACCTCTTTTGGGACACAAAAATACCTGTTGCTCTTTGGTCCACCTCTAAACCCAGAAAGTACTTCATGATGCCCAACTCGGTCATCTCAAACTCCCTCTTCATCACTTCTTTAAACTCCTCAACTAGCTCAGCTTTGCTTCCCATGAATATCAAGTCATCCACGTATAGAGCAACGAACAATATATCTCCTTTGCACTTCTTTAAATAGAGAGCATGTTCATAAGGACATTGTTCATAACCATTTCTCTTGAAGTAGGTGTCTATTCTCTCATTCCATGCTCGAGGAGCTTGCTTCAAACCATACAAAGCCTTTTTGAGCTTCAGCACCTTCTTCTCTTCACCTCTCCTCATGTACCCTAGAGGTTGCTCCACGTAGACTTCTTGCTCCAACATCCCATTCAAGAATACTGACTTCACATCCATTTGTTGTATCTTCCATCCATGCTGAGCTGCTAAGGACAATAGTAATCGGATCGTTTCCATCCTTATTACGGGTGCAAAGACCTCATCATAGTCAATGTCTTTTTGTTGTCCATAACCCTTCGCCACAAGACGAGCTTTGTAACGCTCCACTTCACCATTTGCATTTGTCTTCCTTTTGTATACCCACTTCAAACCAATTGGCCGAGCTCCTGTGGGTAAATCTGTCAGCTTCCACGTCTCACTCTTCTCAAATGATTCAATCTCCTCATCCATTGCTTTCTTCCATCTCTCATCAAGTACGGCCTCTTCAAATTTTATATCTTCTGTTTCTGTCAATAGACATACTACATGTAACTCATCAGTGGAGTTGTAGACGTCTTGCAAGCTCCGAGTTCTAAGCTGCTCAGGTTCATCATCTTCCTTGGAATGCTCATTGGTCCTATCCGAGCTTCTTCCTATCATCTCCGAGATCTCCCTCTTAGAGTTCGAGCTCCCTGAAGTCTTTTCAGAGTTACTCCAGCTCCACTCACTTTCCTCATCTACCTGGACATCTCGACTTACCAGAATTTTGCCTATAACAGGGTTGTACAATTTGTAGGCCAAGCCTCCAAAGTTTAAATGCCCAAAACGAAAATGGCACATCATGGCTTCATCCTTCACGTCCAACTTTAAGCACTTATTTTGAATGATGTTCAGCTCCAGTCTATACATCCGATTCTTTTTCATCTCTACTCGGGCTACTAAACGATCATGTTTGTCCTTCAAATAAAGTACTCGATCCTTCATCAGAACCGAGTTGCCTTTCTCCATCATCTGCCCCATGCTTAAGATGTTGCTCTTAAGTTCGGGAACGTAGTAGACATTCCTTATTTCTCCAACTCGTCCATCCTTCTGCATATGCTTGATAGTTCCATGCCCTTTTACCGCCACCTTGGAATCATCCCCAAATGACACGAATCCAGCCTTCACCTTGATGAGTTCGTTGAAGAAACTTTCTTCTCCACACATATGATTGCTCGCTCCAGTGTCCAAATACCAGATCGAGTTGTTTAAGCAACCCGAATCAAGCTCGGCCTCTGACTTCTCATCTGAGCTTGGAAGCTCAACTGCTGATCTCTCCACGCAACTCAAGTTTAGCTCAACCTCGGAGGCACAACTCGGACGTAGCTTGGTCTCCGAGCTCTGCGTAATCATCAAAATTCCTTCTTCCTCGTCCTCTTCTTCTGTGAGAAGATTCTTCTCTTTCTCTTCACTTCGGCTTTTAGCTCGGCAATACTTTGCTATGTGACCGTATTTGCCACAGTTGTAGCAATTTGCCGATCTGCATTCCTTTGCGTAGTGGCCGTGTTTGCCACACTTATAACATTCCACCTCCGACCTTGGCTGACTTCCTTGGCTACGATCACCTCGTCCTTGTCCACCTCCATGATCACCTCGTCCTCTACCTCGTCCTTGATCACCTCGTCCTTTGCCTCGTCCTTGATCACCTCGTCCTTGTCCACTTGATCTTCGGCCCTGGGTGTTCCGAGTTTCATTCAAATCAAGTTGCGCCTGTAATGCTTGATCAAGAGTACCCTTCATCTTCCTCCTCCTTTGTTCGTGGGCTTCGAGTGACCCAGCGAGCTCTTCCACTGAGAGAACTAACAAGTCCTTTGACTCCTCAATTACACATGCAATACTCTCGAAATCATCTGTTAATGATCTCAAAATTTTTTCCACAATTCTACTTGCTGGCATTGGCTCCCCATTCCTTCCGAGTTGGTTAGCCAACTTCTCCACCCGAGTTATGTACTCGGATACTTGTTCCTTATCCTCCATCTTCAAACACTCAAACTCTCCTCGGAGAGTTTGAAGTCAGATCTGTCTGACACGGTGGTTACCTCTGTGCGCAACCTCCAAGATCTTCCATGCTTCCTTTGAAGATGCAGCGTTTGCAATACTAGTATTGGGTGAACGTAGCAACTCACTGTACTTTTTATTGAATAAGAGATGACCTTTAAATAGTCATTGTACAACGTACCAAATTAACAAGAAGATAACAAAATATCTTATCAAAACAAATCTTATCAAAAACTATATATCTTATCTAAACTGAAACAAATAAAACAGATAAACTAACTCGGATATCTCTAAAATTTAAGATTATCTAACATTGCCTACACTCTCCTCCAGGCCCAAAAATCTTTCGATTTCAAACGCCAAATGACAATAATACTAGTCTTATCTATGAGTATGACTAGAATTCTATTCGTATATACATATATTACTGAGTAGGAGTAACAACAAACATTCCTTCCACAAATTGTCAAATATTAAGATGTGCTAGAAATATGCATATTGTTGGTGTCAATCATCACTGCTGAGATACAAGTAGAATAAAACAATAAGCATACACAAAGTTTGGTGGAAGATTTTTTAGGTGATAATCAAAAGTAAATTTATAGACCTTATGTATAAAGTATAAAATATCATATCAAATTGTGAATTCCCATTGCAAAACAACATCACGCTACCAATCACAAGATCTAGGTATAATGTTCGATTCATTTTTCACACGCTAAAGTGATATGTTGATGTTTGCATTTGTATATCACTGTTAATTACCCAGTCCCTCAACTTGCAATTACAATTTGATTGCATATCAGCATTTGAACTCATAAATAAATGATACTTGTAGATAGAGAACAGAATTGGTGAATTTGAACCACAAGTCTAGAGTCATTATAATACGAAGCAGCTCTATTAAAAAGTGAATCATAACTATAAGTACATAATTATTGTACTACATTGCAGATCCATTAAACATGTTATTGTTATTAACAGATGAAAAGAACATATAGGGTTTCTGTTTCTGCCATTATTTTGAGAAAACTATCTTATTATAATCTAGTCCTCATAAAGCCTAGTGTCTAGACGTGGAGTTAGGAGAACTTGAAGGGGGGTTTCTTTTAAATTTGTGAGACCAATGCTCTCTGTCATGTCCACAACTTGATTTGAAGGAGAAGCAACATTGAAAGAGTGCAAGAGTCTAGCCAAGGTCAAGTGCACCACACGCAGAGCCAGTGAGGCACCAGGGCATGCTCTCCTTCCAGAACCAAAAGGGACTAGCTCATAGTTCTTACCCTTTACATCAACATCTTTGTGGCTTTTCAAAAACCTTTCAGGCTTGAACTCATGAGGGTCACTCCAAACACGACCATCTCGGTGAATCTTCCAAGCATTCACCATTAAATGTGTGCCAGCAGGAACGTGGTAGCCACAAGAGAAGGTGCAATCTTCCATGGCTGCACGAAGGGTGATAATAGGACTTGGTGGATACAGGCGCAGTGTTTCCTTGACTATGGCTTGGAGGTACACCAAATTCATTATGTCAGATTCTTCCACATTTCTATTCTTCCCAATATAAGTGTCCAATTCATCTTGGACTTTTTTAAGTTCCATTTGATGGTTAAGTAGCAGAGATAGCACCCAAATTAGAGCAATCATGGTGGTGTCACTTCCTGCTAAAATCAGATTCTGCCAACATAATTAATGAGATATACTAGCCCGTGGTTGGAATCCAAAAATACATGTCAAAGACAAACAGAAAAGTCATGCTCAAAATGACATGTTCTTCTAACTAAAAGAAGAATGTTGTACTGAATCAGATTGGATCACAGAACACAAATTTGGAGAAGTGAACAGGGTTAAGTTTACATATGCTCGTAAACATATGAAGTTAACAATCATGACTGATAGTGTAAAAGTTTTACACCGTCAACTATTAAATATCATTGTTAATATACATTTTTATTTATTTATTTTAAAAGTCAACAACTAATCATAAATAATAGTTTGTGATTGCATCACGTACTTTCTTTAACAGAGGTTTATGTATCTCCAAAAGTTATTAATGTTTATAAGTCATCTAATTTGTATGATAGGATATAATTAATTATTTATTCTTTTACAATCAAAGGCGTAAAGTACTTAGTTGGGACTTGGGAGATATATATTGCAAATTCCTAAATTTCTTAGAGTCCACCCATTATATGGTTTATGTTAATCAGATACAAGTTTTTATAGTAGCAACCATGAAAACAAGATAGCTAAAGTTCTTAACACGTACTCACCAGGCAAGTAGCCTTGATGATGGTATCTGAATCATAGCCAGAAATGTGTGCATCCTGCAGAACATTCAACATGACATCCATGAAATCCTGTTCTTCCTTTCCATTCACACTCAAAGCTCTTCTTCTTTTGTGTTCCTCTAACCACCCTTCAACAAGAGAGTCCAATTCACATGCAGTTCTCTTCATGGCCTTTTCATATCCGTTGATATCCCACCACCCCAGAAATGGAATAGCATCAGATAAAACAAACACCCCAAACAAACTCATAAAGTCCCTCATAACTTTCTTGTACCTTCTTGCTTCAACTTCTGCATAATCATCACTGCGTGGCTTCCCTCTCACCATTCTGAGAACAATACTATGCGTCAAGTCCCCAAACCACTGCTTCATATCAACCAAAACCCCTCCCTCTGGACAACCTTCTCTTGAACAAAATTTGTGAAGCTCTCTTATTGCAGCTTCTAACTCAGATGTTCTTGTTTTCTTCAGCAGTTCAAGCCTGTTATTAGAGAGTAGCTCAATAGTAGCTAATTTTCTCATCTCACGCCAGTAAGGGCCATAAGGAGTGAAGCCAAACATGGCATAGTTGTAGCCCATTAGCTTTGAGGCTGCAACACAAGGCCTGGTGGAGAATGCTTTGTCATGGACAGTAAAACATTCCTTCGCCATCTCCCAACTACTCAATACTAAAACTTTGTATGAACCGAGTTTTATAGTGAAAATAGGACCATGTTTCTCAGCCATAAGCCCAAGTGTTTTGTGTGTATATTGGTGAGCCCCAAAGAGGTGTAAATGGCCAATAATTGGCCATGCTTTTCCAGCTTGAGGTGCAGTGCAGATCTTGGTATTACCACTAGGTACTCTCTTTAAGCGATAAATGAAGACCACAACTAACAGCGCAATGATGCTGGAAATGAGAGCTTGGAGTTGGAAAACATCCATTGCCATGACCCTGTTGACTATAAAATTAAGCTGAACAAAAGAAATTAACTATATATTGTGCGCCTATTATGTTTTCTTTTGTTTTTATGAGTGGAACATAATGGAAGATAGATAGGCTTAGCGTGTGTTTCTATAAACGTTAAACTAAATGTCAACATACGTTTATCCGAACATATCTCATACTTACTTGTCCATTTCGTGTTTGGGAAATTGGGATTATCCGTTTGAAGCTCCTCAAATAGAAATCCAATCATGCACTTAATCGGTGGATTGTTTTATCAGTGTAATAACTTTTAAAAAAAAAAAAAATAAATAACATATTCTACATGAAGACTAAAATTAATAATATCTGTAACTTTTATTAACTAAATATTATTTTATTACGGATCAAAATCAAATATCAAAGTATTAAATTAAAAAATATTTTTATTATTTGTGCTTATTATTAACATTGATCAAAGAAAATAATGTGTTGATTGAGTAATTAATTAAAAATAATTTAATTTAATATAAAAATTCAAAAAATATGTGATTACAATATTTGTCAGTCTTTTTTTTTTTTTTCTATAAAAACAAAATTAGAGGTGCTAAAAAAAAGGTCTAGCTTAGTAGGGTACATGAGAATTCGATTCTTAGCGATTGAAAACAACTAAATTAGAAGTTTTTCTTGGTCATTTTTTTATAAGAACTAATTTAGAATATTTGCTTTATTAATTATTTTTATTTTACAAATTTACCACTGGTTATGAGCTTTTTTCTTCTTCCTATAATCAATAATTAAAATGTGAAATCTTTTGGGGTCTAACTTTGTTTTGTATGAAAAGAATTTTAGAAACCTTAATTTTCCTTTTGCTTTGATAGCCAACAAAAATCAAACCAATAAATATATTATTGATGAAAGATGTTAAAAGAGCTAAATGTTTAAAAAAGAATTAAAAATGATTCACTAATGTTAAATATACTTATTTTTTAATAAAAGATTTAATTTAATTTAGTAACTAAATTAACTAATTTTCTAAATTAGTAAATTAGTAAATTGTCTTATAAAAAAAATGACAGGAGAAAGTATAAAATCATTTGGTTAAATATTTAGTCCTTTTTTTTTACCAATATATATTTATTTAATTCTTATACATATAACTTTTGTTTTTTACTTACTGTTATAAGGACTAACACATAAAAATTTTAAAACTATAGGAATTAAGAAAAGAAAATTAATATATATATATATATATATATATTCTAAAAAGAAATGTTTTATTTGCAGGACTAAAACATAAATAAAGACAGATTAGTTACATAAGAATGCATGCGTCCATTTAACCTCATTGGTGCATATATCATTTGTGTAAGGGTGTGACTTGAGCCTGTCTGGTCTATTCAGGTTGCTCAATGTGAATTGGATCAAATGCAGGCTTGCTCTAATTCCAGCTGACAAATGATTGACGTAATTCGATTTTACTCGTGCTTTAGTCTCTTTCAACGACCATTTGGTGAATGTCTGCATCAGCTAGCATTGTCATCCACCACACCAGTTTTAATACGTGAAAAAGTATTAGTCTAGTATCACCAAATGTTCGATCTCAATCAACTATGGCATGGTATGTGCTTAAATTTTTAACTTATAAAAAAAATAATTATATTTAATTATATATCATATAAAAACTAATTAAGGATTATAGTTCAACACTACCAAATAATATTTTGTAACTGAGGATAAAGTTTTTTTAACGAGCAAATGTAATTTGTCATCACTCTTCTCTTATCAAATTATCTTTAAACCCTCTAGGTAAACTTCCATCATTTTCAATCACCAATCACCATCCTCTTGTCTCTTCTATACAATTAACATTCTATTTTCAGCTTTATCTCACAATCAAGCATGAGCGAGATGTTAAATTCTTAAAATCACAGTTATTTTGTCCTGTTTTAATGATAAGATTTTAACAAAATTTTACTTTTCTAGTTTTCTTGTTAAATATACAATAAGTAAGAAAAATATTTAAAAGGATGAAATTCATGCATTTAAAGAATAAAATGGATCAATTCTAAACTTTGAAGCCATTCACAATCGTGTTTATTTATGTATAACTGTGCTTCAATGCGTTTGAATGTATGCACGAGCATATTTGCCAACATGCATGGTCGTGCCCCCTTAGAACATCCCACTAGCACACTCCAACCACTAATAAAGCACGAATATGCAATAAAGAACCTCGTGTTTTTTGATCTAATAAAGCATGGCCGAATTTTGTTTTATAAATATTGATATCCAAACATCATTGTAATTATTTAGTTTATAGTTTTAGTTTCTTTTATATATTTTTCTCTTTTTCTCTTATTCTAGAATGGTGATATAATTGTTCCTCGTGAATTCTCAATGATGAATTGAATGAATTTTTTTTAATTGTCATATTATTTTAGTATTTTCAATTCTTATCCCGGTTAATTAAAAATCCATGATCATACTTTCTTTACTCAACAAAATTCTAAAATAATAGAATTCTAAAAATTTACATAATCAAAATGTTTTCTTAATTCCCAATTGAATTAATTTATTAATTTGTTTTTGATTTTTTATCCTTTGTTTTTACTAATAAACTTCTTATGATTAATTTAGGATTTTCTTAAAATAAAGACAGTTGCTTCAAATCAAAGGGTTGTCAATAATTAACAGTAAAAAATTAGTGCGGACTTTTAAGCACAATTGTAAGTCTCATCAAACATATTCATGTTCAATAACTTGGATATGCTTTATTAAATTTGGAAGCATAGTGATGCTTCATAGACTATAAATCCAGAGGTCGTGACTTATTGTCCCTTTCCTACGAGATGAATTTTATGAATTATAAAACATTATCTTCAATTTATTTTTGAAATTGCAACCCTTTGATTTTAAGAAGTCAATAATCTTTATTTTAAGAAGACTCTAAGTTTATTCGTAAAACAAAACATTAAAACATAGAAGTGAGTTAATAATTTAACTCAATTAGAAATTAAGAAAATATTTTGATGATACGAAATTCCATAATTCAATTATTTTAAAATTTTGTTAGTCAAAAGAATTTGATCATGCACTTTCGATTAACTGAGATAAGAATTAAAAATATTAAAATAATATTACAATTAACAAAAATGGAATTCATTCAATTTAACATTAGAAGTTTACGAGGAACAATTACACCACAATCCAAGAGAGATAGAAAAAATATATAAAAGAAATTCAAATTAAAAATTAAATGATTATAACATGGTTCAAACACATCACTATTTATAATAAAAATTAAGATAGACTATTAAGCACGATTATACTCAATAACATGAATGCACTTTATTAAAATAGGAAATAAGCTTATAAGCAAGCACAACCATGCTTTATTATTAATGATAGAAGTGTGTTTGTTATTCAAGGACATTTTAAGAGAGGGCACGGTTGTACATGTTGGCAAGTATGCGTATGCTTTGTAACACAAACGCACATTTAGGTGTGTTTCCACTCATATATTTAGAGAATCACAATCGTGCATAACTTTAAAGTTTAGAATCACTTCATTTTATTTCTTGAGTACATGGATTTTATTTATTTAAATATTCTCTGTTTACTATAGACTTAATGACAAGAAAAGAAAAATTTTGTAAAAAATTTAACATTAAAATAGGACAAAATAGCCGTAAATAATATGATATTATATAGCTTTTTGAAGGTTTAACACGAACTTGCATGCACTTGACTTACTAGGTCCATGCAACATTATAAGTCACTTTGACTTGCGATCAAACTTAAGCTTTAAGTTTTAACTAGGTACTCTGCCAGGATGACATATAAAAGACAACGCGGTAAAAGGAAAATTTGGTGAATGTGAACCACAAAAGCAAAATTATTATAATAACAGTGCAGCTCCATTGAGCATTTTATTACAAGATGGAAAGCCCTTATTTCAGAACTAGATGCTTCCTGCCCTTATTTTGAGAAAACATCACTACCTTAGTCCTCATAAAGCTTAGTATCTAGACGTGGAGTCAGAAGAACATCAAGTGGGGTTGCTTTTAAATTTGTGAGTCCAATGCTCTCTGTCATGTCCACAGCTTGATCTGAAGGAGAAGCAACATTGAAAGAGTGCAAGAGTCTAGCCAAGGTCAAGTGCACCAAACGTAGAGCCAATGAGGCACCGGAGCATGCTCTCCTTCCTGAACCAAAAGGGAGTAACTCATAGTTCTGACCTCTCACATCAACATCTTTGTGCCGTGTCAAGAACCTTTCAGGCTTGAAATCATGAGGATCACTCCAAACACGTCCATCTCTTTGGATCTTCCAAGTATTCACTATCAAACGTGTGCCAGCAGGAATGTGATAGCCGCATGAAAAGGTGCACTCTTCCATGGCTGCACGAAGGGTGATAAAAGGACTTGGTGGATAAAGGCGCATAGTTTCCTTCACAATGGCTTGCAGGTACACCAACTTCTTTGTATCAGATTCTTCCACCTTCCTGTCCTTCCCAACGTGAGTGTCCAATTCATCTTGCGCTTTTTTAAGCTCCATTTTATTGTTTAGTAGCAGAGATAGTGTCCATATTAGAGCCACCATGACGGCGTCTCCTCCTGCCAAAATTAGATTCTGCAAAAATACACCAGCTCATGGTTGGAATTCAAAGTTTGGCATCAATATGTACCAAGAATGCCCGATAGCAAGGAGGTCTAACAATAATCGTTAAGATAAACACAAATACCATCTCAGAATGCGATTTTTTCTCTTTACATTGTTCCCTTTTTAAATCTTTTCTTGTGCTCTAAACCAAGGACGGGTGTTTTATTGAAACAGATTTGTGAGAAGAAGGTTTAAATAGACGAATCAAATTACTATCTTAAAATATTATACATCAATTTTATTCATCTCTATGTGATGTATTGGTGTTGTTTAAGAGTTTGTTTGGATAATTTTTTTAAAAAATATTTTTAGGAGAACAAAAATATAAAAGGAAAATGAAAAAAAAAACTTTTTCACATTCTAAAATAATTTATGTATTATTTATAAAAAATTTCTATTATTAATTTTTCTAAAATCTCATTTTTAACTCATATATAAACTAATTTTAGAAATTTATTTTGATTTTTTTCTGATTTTTCTCTTCTGATTTTTTTTTTAAAATTTTTTTTCTGTTTTATAAGTGTTTTTTTGGAAAAGCTTATCCTATATAACATGATGAACACACTTACCAGACAAGTGGCCTTGATGATGGTGTCTGTATCATAATCAGAAACCTTAAGATTCTGCAGATCATTCAGCATGACGTCCATGACATCCTGTTCTTCCTTTCCAATTCTACTCACAGCTCTTTTTCTTTTGTGTTCCTCCAGCCACCCTTCAACCAAAGTGTCTATTTCACTGGCTGTTTTCTTCATTGCCTTTTTGTATCCATTGTTGTCTAGCCACCCCAGAAATGGAATTGCATCAGATAAAACAAACACCCCAAACAAACTCATAAAGTCCCTCATGGCTTTCTTAAACCTCCTTGCTTCACCTTCCCCATCATCATCACTAGCCCCATAATATGGCTTCCCTCCCACCATCCTCAGAAGGATATTTTGAGTCAAATCCCCAAACCACTGCTTCATATCAACCAAAACCCCTCCCTTTGGACAACCTTCTCTTGCCCACAACTTGTAAACCCTCCTTGTTGCAGCCTCTAACTCAGATGCTCTTGTGTCCTTGAGAAGTTCAAGCCTTTGGTTAGACAGAAGCTCAACAGATGTGAATTTCCTCATCTCACGCCAGTAGGGTCCATGAGGAGCGAAGCCAAACATTGCAGTGTTGTAGGTCATTAGCTTTGAGGCTGCAACACAGGGCCTGGTGGAGAATGCTTTGTCATGGACAGTGAAACACTCTTTGGCCATCTCCCAGCTACTCAACACCAGAACTTTATATGAACCAAGTTTTATTGTGAAAATTGGTCCATGTTTGTCAGCCATAGCACCAAGCGTTTTGTGTGTTAGTTGATTAGCCCCAAAGAGGGGCAAATGACCAACAATAGGCCATGCTCCTCCTGCCTGTGGCACAGTGCAGATCTTTGTATTAGGACCATGTGTTTTCTTTAACTGATAAACCAAGGCACCTACTAACAAGGCAAGAATGCCTGATATGAGTGTTTGAAGCTGGAAAACATCCATGATCATGACCATGCTGAGTGCCCCTAAGAGTAGGGCAACCGGAATTTATTATGTTGGATTATCGGTTTTCCTTGTGCTCAGTGCTCACTGCTTAGCTTAGCGAACAGTGTACCCTTTTTGTCTTTTTGACTTTTACATGGATCAGGATCAGGAAAAATGAAATGTTTCAGATTTATTAATTGTTCTGATTCATCTAAAGTCTGCTTCACTGAATAGATTTCAACAATTAAAAATGGGTTGGTCCGGAAATCTGCTTAGTTTAACTTTAACAATAACTTAACGATGAAAAATTACTATATAGTATTTGATTTGATGACACATCTAAATTTTGTTTCAGATGAATTTTTTATATTCAATTGGTACTATTCTATGAAAGTATGCGAGCAACTAAAGTTCCTTGGCAAAAGTTGACCCGGCATCTTGAAATATTAAAGTTGACTAACGGATTCACATGAATTCGATGAGAAAGATTATAGCTAGTTCCGCATATATGCGAGTGTAAGTGCAGAACATGAATAAACATCTGATTGAATATTTTCGGACCAAATGTTCACCTGGCTTATTGTATTGCTTTCTATTTTTTATTTTCGTTGAGAGATTATTTTGTCTTTTTCTCTCATTTGAGAAGATAGGTTTGCTGAGGTTCTGCAATTTAGAAGTGCCCACTAAGTTTAGGGGATTGCTCCGGTGCCCTCTTATTTGAAGGGATTTTGGTGCCCCTCAGTACAAAAGTTGGGTTTTTAGGGGCAATAAGGTAAATTGATAGCCTTCGGTCAATTTATCAATTTACCTTATTGTCCCTAAAAACTCAACTTTTGTACTGAGGGGCACCAAAACCCCTTCAAATAAGAGGACACCCGAGCAACAGCCCTAAGTTTAGGCCACCCTAGAGAAAGTAACATTTGAATATTCATTGCAGATTGTGATGATTCTTATCGTAATAAAATATTTCTTAGCTAAATGGACCGGCACCACATGCAGTATTTGAACCATTTTTCGAAAAGGTCGAGTGGGGTCTAGAAGGTTATGGAAATTATATGATGAATAAGATAGTATTTAGTATTTACCACTATCATTACGATATGGTAATTTGGTTGATTGCACTACCGGTACCAGAATATCGGTTGACCTCTTCTGCATTTACATTCTGCTTCATGGTGTTGCTGTCAGTGGCGGTGGTAACACTATATAATATTGGATGCTATATAAAAGGGGTGAATACAATGTTCATAAAAAAAATGGTCAGGAAAACAATATTGGATGTAGAGACCGTTGGGTTTTCCAACTTCTTTAGAGTGAATTCATTTTTAAGACATATTTAAATAATTTTTTTGAAAAATATTTATAAAAATAAATAAATAAATTTCTATCTACAAAACTAATTTATACAATGACACACCTAATTAAATTCATTCGCATTTAATTTAATTTTTCTTATATTTTATCTTTTTATAGAAATTTGTGTTGAAATGTGATAAATAATTCATAATTCCAATAATTTTGATTCGTGATTGACTTTAATTTATCTTGTTCTATTATAAACTTCACATTATAAAATAAAAAATAAATAAATAAATAAAAGCTAATTTAAGTGTAAGTTAAAATAAGGTATAAGAAAAGTTAAAAGGAGAAAAGTTTACAAATTAATGCTTATAGAGACTAATTCTATCTTAATTTTTCTTTTCTTCCTATTTTTTTTTAAATTTTAGAGATTCTTCTAAAAAAAGTTTATCCAAAAACTATTATATATCTTGCTTCTGTCATTTTCCTTCTTAAGTTGAGCAACAATAATTTTATATATTATCAGTTTCATATAAAAAAACACGAAATGAGCAATGACATTACACAAATGCTGGAAATCCTTTCGTATGCTACAGAAGCGAGATATATAATAGTTATATCATACAATCTGCTTCATGGCTTTCCAATATGTAACAAATCTCTAAAGTCAACTCTATAAAAGGCATCTTGGAAAATGAAAAATGTATGCAACAATAAACATGAATTAACAGATTATCCGCTTGCATTGTGTGGCTTCGAAGCAAAACATTGATGCATACAAATGATCACCAACCCATTCCGCCAGCAGCTGTTTGCTAAGGGCGGCTATATCTGTTTGGAAGTATGTGTATTTCTCACGTTAAGCAAACATCGGAAGTGCACATCTCTAGGAGCGCTATAATTGAATCTCATTTTTCCTTCCATTGATGCATTTTCAAGCACGCAGACCGTCTAACCTTGAACTACCGACAATACCAGCAATTTAGGCTGTTTAATAACAGTTGGAAAAATACTTTTATGAATTTTAATGCACAATTGCAAATTTGAATGCCGAAAATGAAGGAAAACATTATATTAGAGAACCAAGGTACTTTTGAGCTCTCTCAATTGAAATTGAAACATGCACTTAACGTGTTCAGTGACTTTTGTTTCACTTCTACATTATGATCGAACATGTCAACTCTTGATGGAAGATGTTTGAAAACATGAGTTTGAAGAATGATCGCAAGCTGGTACTGAAGCTAATCTGGGTAGCTTTTGGATCTGGGGATGAAACCAATGGCATTGACATTGATTATCTTCCAAATTTGTACTCATGCACAACTCAACGAGCATGACAAGAAAATTGGCCACTTGGCAAAGCTAATATGTTGGTATAGGATTTAACTAACATGTTAGAAATTTCAAATTAATGGATCTTAGATGTACTATAAATTAAAAGAGAAACACGCGTGATATTACTCCGTTTAAAAAAGAAAAGTGATGCATGAAAGCACCAGAACATATTACCATTACTTTGACAAAAAAGGTTCTCATGCCAAATTACCAACCCCAGCTATCTCAATATGTAATGTTTTCTTGGAAAGTAAGCACGTATATCCCAGGTTAAAATTGGAAAAAGAAAAAAAAAACTCTCATGGTTTTTTGAGCCTGGACCTAAGTCTTCCAGCAATACTGTCTGAGCTAGGTTTGGAGGAAGAAGCAAGCAGCTTCTTGGTATCAGAACACTTGTTTTTTTTAAGTTGAAGAGGTTTCGGGGTATCAGAACACTCAACTTTTTCAGGCTGATCTTTCTCGTCTGAGAAAAGCAACGATCTCTTTGCTGAAACCTCAGCACCATCACCTTCAGTTTCAGCCAGAGGCTTCAATAATCCCAGATTCTCATTGGCCTCAGGAGACTTCTTGTCGTCCACATCAGAGAACGGTAGTGACCTTTTTGCTGAAACTGGGTTGGAAGCATCTGCATTTTTCTCCCCATTTACTGAGCGCCTGGTTTGAATAAGGTAGTGTGCAACTGATTTGTAACCCAATGCTGATATCTAAAATAAGGAGAAATTTGAGCTTAGCTTCAACTCAATTTCATGAGAAACAACTTTATGGTAAGCCAAACTTTGGTCAAGAATCAGAAGTAACCTTTTTATATAAAGGGCCAGTTGGGGCCCATCCTTTAGCTTGACGACATAAGCTACAGTTGCAAATTCCACGACAAACAGGGCATAGCCAAGTTGGATTCTGTAAGGCTTCAAGCACATGCTCCCCATATCTACAAAAGAGGATAACAGAAAAGAAGCACTGAGATCAGAGCATCATGGGAAATCATAAATTGCAACGATGGGGTCCTGTTCAAAATAAAACAAGCAATAAAAATGGATTACCAGGAAATTTTCTTAAATATTAAGTGTAATAATATACTGAATTTACATGGTAAATAAGTGCATTTCATATTGACTAATAAAATATTCCAAAAAAAATATTCAAAGCATAACCTAGGAAATTCTTGGATATGTTTCTGGGCTTTGGCATAAACATGTGCATCAATCCTGAAAACAGTTTCAGCTATGTATGCACGTGTGAGATTAGCCTTTAATAATATCTTGAATCATTAACAGACAACATAACTTTAGTTATACGTTTCAATGAAAACAATTTATCAATTATTTGTCAAAGGAGTGTTATACAATAGCTTAATTAACAAAATGATCAACCATAAACGTCTTAGTTTCACACTATCCTGAAGATAACATAAATTGAGCAATGATAGGCCAATTTCTCAGAGAGTTTAATAGGCATGCATGATCAGTTGTTAAAATTTTATACTATTAATTAATCATAAATCATCCAATATTTGTCTACTCAGCAAAAAGATACTGCCGCTTACAATTCAAGACTAGGGTATCAACCATTCAATATTATCCTTATTTGTCTATAAAATCCTACCAAATCAGCACAATGAGGAGACTGCAGCATCTCTTACCATGATGTTAGAGGAAAGAAACATGTTCTAGAAGGCATACCTCATATACAAGCAATCTCCACAAAACTGCCCCTGGACCAAATTGCATTGACTACAATGTGTACGATAACCAAGAGTTTTTTGCCTATGAAACATTATTTTCATCCAATGAGCAAGTTCATTGACAAAAGAAAATGAACAAAATCAGGAAGACTGATAGACAATAAAACTAAATTCATTGAATAAATGAGATATCATTAAAAAAAATTATTTGCAAAGATCACAAGAAAAGAGAAAAGCCAAAATTTATCAAAAGCATGGCCATATAATTTTTGCATAGCTATCAAAGATGTAGAAAGAATGCATAAAAGTTAAAACTAAAAAGGTGTCTTTCTACATGCGCCCAGAGGCCTAGGCTCCATCATATATTTCATTTTAGGAATCAAGTTCACTCAAGTCAGTGCCCTTAATTATAGGCTACACATTTAACAGTCTCGGCACTAGCATGGCCACGGGCTACCTATGACCGTTTCTACTTAGGAATCACAAGAACCTAAGCAAGTGGTATAGTGCAGATGCCACATGAACCCTAAGAAAGCCACCAAATCATTATTACTCTGCTATTCCACAAGACAACAGCACTATCTAAAACACCACATAACGTGTCCTTCCCAAAGCAAAGACTCCGGAACAGGAAGCACCAAGCTCCGCTGTAAACCGAAGAATTACATTTACTGCCTGCCCCAACTAACACCGAGTAAATGAATAAAATAAAAAGGTGATGTCTTACTTTCTGGCATACAGCAAGTAAACAAACATTTGAGAACATTTAGACATAGTGGCATCTTACCCGAGTGCACAATAAAAAAGATAGTTGTATTTTATTTTAACGCAAAAATGGGCGTCATGTTACCCGCAATTGCAAAACAAGTCTCGAAAGTGGTATTCAAACATTTAAACAAATAGTAGACACAAGATGATGGCAGACAGACAATAAGTACACCTTAACCAACCACTCATTAACAATCAAAAACACTACTATTTTACCCTCCACATCATGGCTAATGATTTTGTGATTTCTAAAAAAAATAGCAACTAATAATATAGTGCATTAGAGAGTATCATGGTAGCAGTAGCACTTTTGATTTCACAGAGTGTTTGGATACAGGTGAGAATTGATTTTCCGAGGCAAAATCACGACGATACCATGAAAAAGATGATAGTAACTATTTGTTGTTTTAGCTTCATTGTAAAAAGTTAATTGATTTTATCTCACCATAAAGCTATTCCAAAGACACTGATAATAGAACGATAATTTAATCTAGTGCTTTTGGGGTAACCTGCACTGATGGCAAGTTTTACCACGAACGGAATCATAAATTCGCTTTCCATCTTTCCCAACGCCATCGACGAAGAGCGTCGTCCAGGGTTTGTCGGTGTTTCCGAGCAGCTTGTCGTGTTCTTCAGTGTAAGCCTCAGGCTTGGAACCCTCTTCGATGACGACCCTTCCATTTTCCACAAACTCGGCTTTCTTGATGGGAGCTTCAGAGTAACTAACGGGAGTTACATTCTGCAGTCTGCAAAGGCAGGATTCCAATTTTAGGGCAAAAGAAAAATAAGAATGAAATGACGGTGTTGGAAAGGATGAGAACCTGGAAGAGCGGCGAATGGGGGCGGAGGGGTGGAGAGAAGGGTTTGTGGTTGTGGGAGGAGTAGGATCTGGAAGATTTTTTGGTGTTGAGCTTGAGGGTGAGGGAAAGGTCGAAGATGCCTAACTTTCCCATTCTCTCGCGGTTTTCGCGGATTCTCTGCTCTCTCGAAAGCTCGTACTCGGACATCTTGTGTTCGTGCGGCGTTTCATTGGTACCCACGGCCGCGGGCTCCGCCGTTCGGGTTCGCTTTGGGAGAGCGGGCATGGTGCGGTGTTTGAAATTGGAGTTGGATGGTACAATGCAATATACAACGGTCTCTAATGAGAGGGAGGGAATCTTTAACCAAAAAATGCTGCTCTCTCAAACGTTACGTCTCTTCACCTTTAGCTTTATGTTTATTATTATTATTATAATTATAAATTATAATAAATAAATATTTTTAAATGTATAAATTGTATTATAGTTAAAATTTGAAACAAGATATTTATAATATAAAAACTATTTTATATTTATGATAAATAATTTATATTTTAACAAATGGAAAAGAGATCATTTGTGTTATTGTATATTTTATTTTAAAAAAAATAATAATTAAAATTGAGTATAAGTTAATAAAAATGATCTGTTTACTCAAAAAGTAAGTTTATTTAAACTTATTTATTCAATAATTCATGTTCTATATTAAATTTTACGATTTAATTATTGAATTTAAAGTTCTTAATAATTATCTGTTAATTTGAATCAATAAAATGAAGTATCAAATAATTTTTAAATTTTTTAAAAATTTGCAAACTTAATCTATGTATCAAGAATTTTAAATTTAATAGTTGAATTTGATATAAAATATTGATTATTATACTTACTTTCGAAGTAAACGAATCTCTCATCTAAGTTAATAGTGAATAATTGAAAAGGTTTGTGTAGCTTTGAAAATTATAAAGATACAATAATTATTTATGAATAATTTTAAAAGTTAACTTATAAAATAATGATAAACATAAATCTATTCACATAAAAGTGGATATAATGATGATTATTAGAAGCGATATAAAACTTTTATTCAATATAATTATATCCGAAGGAAAATAAATATTTCATATCTTTCTATTAAAATAAAAATAATAATAATAATAAGTAATTATTTAAAGTATAAATGATTTAAAAATTATTAAATGTCATTATCAAATAAAAATAAGATAAATAAATAAAAACAATAATTTAAGATTAAATTAGTCTAAAATTTATAATATATATGATATATATAAGCATTTTTTTAATTATTAACACTTTTAAAATATTACAATTTAATTATAAACAAAAATAATAAATTAAAAGAGTTAAGAAATTAAGAAAATTCTTTAAAAAAAACACATATGTCGAAGAAAAATAATTAAAAATACACTTATTTAAAAAATAATTTCTAAATATCTCATTCAAAATAGTTATGGTAATTATATAAATAAAAAATCATATTTCAAAATAATTTTTTATTTATATATGTATATATGATTGTTATTGTTGTTGATTTTTTTTAAAATTTGTATATATTTATTTAAAAATATAAATTAATAAAAGATAATAAAAATTAAATAATAGTTAATAGTTTTAATAAAAGAATGTGAGTAGTTTAAAGTAATTATAGAAGTAAAATTGAGTTAAAAAATATGTACACAAAATTTTGTATCCTCTTTACATGAATGGTAACAATAATTTATCTAAAAAAAATTATATTATTAGCTCAAATTTATTAAGAAATACAAATTTATTTAATATTTTAACATGTTTCTAACACTAATCACATATATCATAGTAGTTTTCTTAAGTGAAATAAATATACATCTTTTCAGTCTATTTGACTTAAAAGATAAGAGACTTTAATATATAAGAAGTATGGAATTAGAAATTTTATTTGGTTGAAAAGAGGAAAAGAGAAAAATTTTAATAAAAAAAGAAGATAATCCTTCATTGTTTGGTTCACAAGAAAGGAAAAATTATTTTAATATTGGTCATTGTTAGAATAAAATAAAATTTTGTTTAAATAAATTTATTAGTAAGTTAATGCCAAATAATCACTCCTATTCTAAATTAAAAGTCCATACAAAATGGACACCGGAGAAGAAAAGATCATATGCAAATAATGAAAAATCTTAAGATTAAAATACTTAGAATGTCTGTGTTCAGTGACGGATCTATAAAATTTAAATAGTGAGACAATATTTAAAGACATAAATTTGTTAAAATATAAAAATAAAATTTCTATAAAGACAAATACAAAATCATAATTGTTCTCTACAAGTTTTCATAATTTGAAAATATTGAATGATTTGCTTATTTTCAATACTATCAAAAATCTCTCTCTCTATATAAGTAATTAAACAATCATTTAACTATTCATCTCCTATACGATTTCGCATCCAATTCTTGATGATATTTATAGCAGATAAGGCTCTTTCAACTGATGTAGTTGCCACTGGTAGTATCAAGGCTAGCTCTAAAAGTAAATACAACATGTTTTCATGTCTTCACAAGCTTCGTAGAAAGATCACCAATCCCTTCTAATTTTGAAAAAATACTGTCAAAACATACATCTGTGAAATAATTTTCAAGTTGGTTATCTAATGTCAAAAGTTCAACTAGAGAAAATTCAGAAGAATAAAATTGAGCAAAACGAATCAACTTCTCCCAGTCAAATGCAAAAAATGAATCTCTTGGATTTAAACATGTTACACAAGGAAATAACTCAGTATTTGCATATGTGAAACGGTTGTTTAACTCTTGAAGTTGTTGATCAATCACTTGAAAAAATAATTCAACTTGAAAATATAATTTTAATTAATGTAATGTTCATAACATACAATGTTTATTCTAAACATAAAAATAGAATGAGTAAATAAAAATTAAAATACTAAATTTTTCATTGAAAATAAAAAAATAATTCAAATAAAGTAATATAAAAAATAATAACTTTAAATACACTAACCTCAAAGATCACTTTAAATGTATAGTTTAACTATTAAAACATGAAGGAGTAGAGATGGAAGAAGAATTTTTTTTTTCAATTTCACCATTCTACACTTTAAAATATGTTAGAAATAGAGAGAAATTTCAAAATATAAATAGAATTGGAAAAAGTAAAAATAAAATAGAAAAAAATATAAAATATCCAAAAAGAGGTTAATAACGACTTACGTTTTTTTTTAATTAAAATACATATATTATTAATTTATAATTTTTTATTTTGATTTACAATTTAAATGCATAACAATTTTTTTTTTCTTCCGAAACATGTAATTTGTTGTTAATTTTTATAACATATTAAAATATTTTTTTTAAATCTTTCTTCTCACACAAAGATAATTATAACAAGACTCAAATTCAGATATAATTTTATAAATTTTTAATTTTATTTTTAACTTTTTGTTTCTATTTTTAGATTTTAAATAAAGATAAAATAATATTATATATATTAAAAAAAATTAAAAAGTTAGTCGGGGCAACAGCATCCACAAACATGTTTGTACGTGGATTCGTCGTTGTCTGTGTCCATAAGAAATTACAAAACCACCCATTAATGATAATACTTTGTGCAAAATTACCTCATTGATATGACTATCCTTTATCACTTATACTACATCAAACATGTGACCACATTTTCCAAACGAAATGGAATTGTAGATCCAAAATAGCAATTTTAATTTATTTTGGATTAAAAAATCATTTTTTTTGTAATAAATCAACTTATAAGGAAAAAATTGACGAAAAATAATCATAAATTTGAAATCTCTAACTTCGTAAAAACAATTTATTTTCAAGAAAAAAACTGTTTACAAATTTTAATTGTTGTCTCAAACAATTTTTTTCCAAATAACTTTTTCCTACAAAAATAGTTGAAGTGAATGAATTTATTTAATATTTCCCAAACACACTATTAATATAATATAATAATATTTTTTTATAAATAAAATAATAAATAAAAGATCAAAATTATTTGGAGATACTTAATGTTGGGATCTATAATATTACATTATTAAGTGTATGATAATTTTTAATTCAAATAAACTTTTTGAGAAAGTTTATTTTTTTTTTCCTTTTGTCACGTCTTCTCTTTTATAACTCGTAACCTGGATGCCCAAACAAATATATTGTTGTATAGTCGGTTAAATTGAAAAAATATATATTATTATTTTTTATACTAATTTAATTTGTAATAAATTTCATATTAGAAATTAAAGACATCATTTTGAAGTTTAACATTATTGAATATATTGTTGTAATTTTTTTATTAAATATACTTTAATTTTAAAAATAAAGTATTATTTAAGGTTTAAACACTTAAATTCTTATCGTATCATGTTAACTTATTACAAAAATGAAAATCAATATATGGCTTGTGACTTATGATCCGTTGTATCAAAGAAATTTTAGATGAATTTATACTTTGTCTTATCTATCTTAACAGTGTCAAATAAGTCCACAGTTGTTGGATGCAGATGGGCTGTAATATTACACGACGAACTAAAATAGGCATCACTTATAAGTTCTGAATGTGAATTTGCTTTTAGTTATGGTCACCAAATAACACCAAATCTAGCTAATTAATGCCCAGAACTTTCTTCCTCAACGGTGTGCCATGAATCTTCTTGACCTTGAGTACGTCACCACAAGGCACCCTGTGACTTTGAAATTTGAATTGCAGGACTAGTTTCTTGCTGAAAACAAAATCTCCGATAGAGGCCACCTTACACCAACAGCACGTTGAGAAACCTGCACATGCACATATGTTGATGACCTACCACATGAAAAATAAATACTATTCAAAATGTCCACTTCCATTTTTTTTTATTTAAAATAATACGATAAAAGGGGTCAAAGCACATAGATTATAGAATATAAATAAGCTTAGAAGTTTTCTCTTGAGAAGAAAGAAAGCACCTTATAAGCTTCTCATCTGATTTAGTGCTTCTAAGAACTCGTAAAACATAAAAGCCATGTCATTGAAATATCATCACATCTTGGCCCTTTTGCTTTTGCTAGTTAACATGAGCTTTCAAGGAAATGCTGCTGGTGAGAAAAATAAGTTAGCAGCTTCTTTCATCTTTGGGGACTCGTTGGTAGATGCAGGAAACAACAACTATCTTTCAACTCTTTCCAAGGCAAACGTCCCCCCCAACGGAATTGATTTCAAGGCCTCTGGAGGAAACCCTACTGGCCGTTTCACCAATGGAAGAACCATTAGTGATATTGTTGGTAACTTTTTTTCTGTCACCTATTACCTGTCATTGATTCTAGCTACACACTTAACCTTTTATTATATCATTTCGTTTCTACCTTTTTTTGGTCTTTTTAATCTTTCAGGAGAGGAATTGGGACAACCAAATTATGCTGTTCCATATTTGGCACCAAACACAACTGGGAAAGCCATACTTAATGGAGTCAATTATGCTTCAGGAGGAGGAGGGATCCTGAATGCAACAGGAAGCTTATTTGTCAGTATTTTTAACTTTTTTAATCATGAATTCATGATGTGTATCGTGCAACATAATGGTTCCATGTTACTTCTTTATTTTTTCAGGTGAATAGAATCGGAATGGATATTCAAATAGATTACTTCAACGTAACAAGAAAACAAATTAACAAGTTGCTAGGTGGTGAATCGGAGGCGAGAGAGTACATAATGAAGAAATCCTTGTTCTCCATCATTGTTGGGTCCAATGATTTCTTGAACAATTATCTTCTTCCTTTTGTTTCCACTGGAGTGAGAGTTTCTCAAAACCCGGATGCTTTCGTCGACGACATGATCAATCATTTCAGGATCCAACTTTACGTATGCACCTTAATCTATTAAAATTAACTAACTGAACTTTTATCTCTTTGGAACACTAGTCCAGTTATTAAATTGATAACAGTTTGTAAATGATATCAAAGTTAATATTATTTACAAATTGTTAGACATATTAATGATTTAGCTTTTGACATTTTAATTAAACTGGGTACGTATCTATGTATGTGTGAATGATAGAGGCTTTACCAACTGGATGCTCGGAAGTTTGTGATCAGCAACGTTGCCCCAATAGGCTGCATACCTTACCAGAGGATTATAAATGAGCTGAATGATGATGATTGTGTGGATTTGGCTAACGATATTGCAACCCAATACAATGCTCGATTGAAGGATTTGGTTGCTGAGCTAAATGACAACCTCCCTGGAGCCACCTTCGTCCTGGCAAATGTCTATGATTTAGTGTCCGAACTGATTATAAATTATCACAAATATGGTAATAATTTAGATCACATGCATTTATGTAATTTTCATGCTCCCCGATTTTTCATATATGATAATATTACATTAAATAGTTATGTGCAATTAATGGGTAACTTATTTCTCAACTAACGTATGTTATTAATATTTGTTTATTTAATATACATTGTTTTGCAGGATTCACAACAGCAAGCAAGGGTTGCTGTGGAATTGGAAGTGGGGGTCAGATTGCAGGGATAATCCCTTGTGTACCTACATCTAGCTTGTGCTCAGATAGGGACAAGCATGTGTTCTGGGACCAATACCACCCAAGTGAAGCTGCCAACATAATACTTGCCAAGAAGCTTATTGATGGAGACAAGAGATACATATCTCCGATCAATCTTAAACAACTATGGGATCTTTGATCATGGATCTATTTGCATGCTTTAATTTCTCCACACAATTTCCTCTTTTTGTCAATTATATGTCAAAGTGTCACTGTAGCTTCGAAAAGGTGTTCATGCTCTTTTTTTTTTTTTTCAATTGCAACATAATGTCAATTTTATAAAGCGTAGTTTGCTTCCTTATGTAACGTATGCATGGTTTCAAGATTTTGCTTATTACCAGTTAAAGTTTGACATTGGTCTTTGACTCTTAATCTGCCTTGCTTAAATAAATTAAATTACCCGTTACAAGTGAAATTAAATTATTTCTTTTTTCTTGTGGGTTGATGGAGACGGTTTACTTGTGTAGATAAAGACACGTGAAAGAGTTTTGTTCAACAACTTCTGCCCCTCTTGGTAGTTTCTTTGTTTATTTTTTCTTTGGATTAATAGTGGGAAACGAATTTATTTTAAGATAAAAAAATTACTAAAGTAGATATTATCTCTTTCAATAAAGTATATTTTTCATACATACATACTACCAGCAAATCAAACCAATTAAAAAATTCAGCTATTGATGGATTGTGGTGGAATTAGTTGGTGTTATACTTGTACAAGTGTTATAAGTAAAGGTATTAAATTGAGTCCTAACTCAACGATCATTTTGGTTTATTACGGGTTTGGGACAGTCTGGCCGGTGACAAATGAATGAATTGGAAAATTTTATAGGTGAATAAAAATAATTTATTAATCAACTTAAATTTACATAAAAATCTAATCATCAAATCATTCAATTCATTTAAAGTAAAAAAAATTCATCAAATCTAGTTGTTAACAATTTTTTCATGGATAAATATTAAAAATATTCATAAAAGTAATATTTTAAAAATTAAAATATTTCATTTATCCTTTTTTATAAGTCATTACAGTAATTATTACATAGTCATTTAAAATTTATAAGATTTTTTTTATGTCAAAATAGTTTTTAAAACTTCAATCTAATAAATATTTTATATTATAACCTAATAAATTTAAAAAAATAATAAATGATCATTCATAAAATTAAATAAATAGATTGAATCTGATCTATTATTTGTTTTTATTGTAATTAATCGATTAAATAAATTTTATTATGAATAAGTCAAATGAATAATGAATAAATGAATTCATTTGTTACGTTTAATCTATAATAGTATAGTCGAATTATAAAATGAACTTATATATAATTATATTATCACATATAAAAAAACACTTCACTTGTGATTTAGCATAACAAGAATTTTGACAAAAAAAATACTCTAAAATAATGAAAAATGTTATTAATTTCGTTCCAACAATAATAAAATTATTAAGAAGATAATATATATTTTTCTTTTATGATGTTTTCTAAACTTCTATTTGAAACTCTGAAAACAGAAAATTTTGAGACTTATGGATGAAATCACTTCTAAAATGCAAATTTACATCCCTAAAAGAAATTAATAAAAATTAATATATTTGATAAAAAAATACGAGATCCAAAAATTTTAAAAAATATTAAGTTAAAAAAGAAAAGACTACAAAAAGTACCGGTTTGAAGTAGTCCTTTTAAAATACCAAGCGGTGGTGACTCAGCTTGACACTGTTGTGAAAAGCAGCTTGACACTTCAAATTATGGGTTTAGATGGGCCAGACATGGTGCAGTTTTGAAAGGGCCAAGCGAAGTTTGTAAAGAGGGTTGAGTTAAAATGTTAAATAATGGGCCGTGGCTGCCCTTTGAACTTGGCCGCGCATGGGGTTCTGGAGCGGGATTTGAGAATTCAGAAAGATTCTCATCCCTCACCTCAACGCCACTCAATTCAATTCAAGCCCTGCGAAATCCAAACTTCCATAAGATAAACTCACTTTAGTTTCCCCCCAAATTCTCTCTCTCACTCTGACCCTAGGGTTTAACCAGGAGTTTTCTTCAGTCTGATAACACTCTCAACACCACAATGTCATTTTCGTTGTTCGCCACGCCGCAGCAACAGCAACAGCAACCGCAACCGCAGCAGCAGTCTCCGTTCCAGCCACAGCAAAGTAGTCTGTTCCTTCCCCAGCAGCAACAACAACAACAACAATTTCAGCCACAACAGCAGCAACCGCAGCCACAACAGCAGTTGTTTTTGTTCACAAACGATAGAACTCCCGCTAGTTACAGTACAAATTGGGCGGATCTACATCCAGATTCTCAGAAGATTCTCCTTCAGATCGAGTATGCTCTAATTTTCCCTCATTGCTCAATGTTTCTGCAAAAGAAAAAAAGAGAGTCAAGATAGAGCGAGTGTTTGTGTTCCGTGGTTCTTGTTTCCACTTTAGTTGCTTAATTAACTGTTATCTGTTGCTTAGGGAGCGGATATTGGAGTATAGGGATGAAAGCCAGAGACTAGATCAGTGTAGTCGTCTTTATGATTCTTCGGTCTCCAACGATGGATTTGAGCTCGATGCAGGCCATATTGTTCAGGTGCTCTTTGCATTTCTTCTTTCTGCTTATTATTTATCTATTCCATTTTTGTTATATAACATTCTTTTTCCTTTTTCATTTCAAGTAAAATTGTTTTTTCTTGGGTAAATAGAACTTGTGGTAAAATGGCAGTTTCCTCCTTAAAAGTAAAGAGGGAAAAAAATGAGTGGATTGATGCTTCTAGTTGATGCATATTTGTTTTCATGTGACTGATTGTACTGACAATTAAATGGAGTATCTTTTGTTACTTCTTACTATACATTACCATCCTTAGCCGACTTCTATAAGAAATTTAAATTTACAATGTTTGTCGTTTACAACGGAGAGTGGGAAAGAAGTTCATTTGTTGACAGTTGCAAGTTTACAACACGAAGTTAGAAAAAAGTTGTAGCAAAATTAGTTGATAGTTGACACGACTTGTGTGGTTTGCTCTATTTCTCTACAGAGGCCATGCGACCTCATTTAGGTAGGGCATGGCCTCAGAAACACAAGATCTGTGAGCTTTTTACGTATTTTGTTTGTCACCTAAAGGCAGTGTATGATTATTAGTCTTAATGAATGAGTTGTTTAATACTGAGCAAGTAATCAAACTCTTGTTGCAATTTATGTGGAAACCTGCTAAGCCTATTTTTGAGAAATGTTAAAACATGCAGGTTTCTTCGAGGTAAAATTGTTTTCAAATACATTATTCCATTCTTAACTGCTTTTCATATATTGTTAATAAACTTTTTTCTATGAACTATAACCAATATTGACATGGTTTACTGCTCCCTTCTCGCATAACATTGTGATTATTGCTCAATGTGTTCTATTCATGAAACAATGCATTTTTTCCTTGTAATGTTTGATAGGAACTTGGTGGAATAAGCACTGCTATGGAACGGCAGAAAACTTTGCTGCAAGAACTGATGTCCACAGTTAAGGATATGTTACGCAACACAGAGGTTGCTGTTCGTTCCTTTATGATGCTACGCCCAAGGTTCCTTCATCCCAGTGGGGGTACATCAAGTGCCACTGCTCCATCACAGACTCCTGGAGCAACTATAGCAGCTAGTTCAAGTAGCCAGCCAACATCATCTATAGTGCCTGTTTTTGATTTCTACAGTGGTCTTCCAAAGAAACCATCACCCTTTTTACAGCAAACAGTTTTAAGATTTGAGAAGTATCTTGTTGAGTGCCATCAGTTAATTGAAGAGTTGGAGCAGTTGCTTCTCTTAGACTCTGAGAGAAATGCTTCCAGTAATGGATCCTCATTATTGCAATCTCTTCCCAAGGTCATGACAAATGTGCACGACTTTTTTGTTCATGTGGCTGCAAAGGTAAAACGAAACAAATATAGTTTTTTTTTAACTAACACTGCACCATACAGCTATGAATATATGGATTTTGTAGTGAATCATATAAATTAAAATTTACCTATTTATAGAATATGACATGAAAATTTTATGATTATAGAATTCTTAATTCTTTTATCACTTGTCTCTTTCCTCTGTTTTTATCATATTCTTATTTGTGTGTTGTTGATTCATGTGAAATTTTGAGCTCTTTTTTGCTTTTCATCAAGATATTATAGGTCATTCACTTTATGCTTCTCTGCTACTTCAAATTTGTAATCATTTTATACTTTTCATATGGAAATACTATACATAGTACCATGCTCCATTTCCTGCTTATTTTGATGAATGATGAACTTAACTTTTTGTATTAGAGTTAGAGATGATCATGATACATGTGCAGTTGCCCCCTTTGCTAAAAGGAGGGCTTTCATGCGCATATAAAGTCATGCCCTATAATATTTACCAATTCTCCTTTTCAGTAGTAATAACAATTAACAGGGTTTTAAATAATGGTTATTTAGGTGGAGAACATTCATCAGTACATTGAATCTATGAAATCAGCATACCTAGCTGATCGGCGTCGCCGGGGGGAAGTGAATGATCCATTTTTGGAGGCAGATCGGCGAGAAACTGCAAGACAAGAAGCTGCCTCGAAAAGAGTTCATCCGACATTGCATTTACCTGCAAATTCACAACCCTCAACTCAAGTTGCTGGGTTGTTTTCCAGTTCAGGGACTCAAGCAGCATTGACTGCCCCGCAGACATCTGCCGCAACTTCATCTTCATCATCAGGAAGTGGATTCTCTCTTTTTAGCACGCCGTCTTCTGCTTCGTCGTCTTCTATGTTGTCATCTCTGTTTGCAACACCAACTCCTGCTCCAGGACCTCAAACCTCACTTTTTGGTTCTACAACATCTGTACCTGGTGCTGCATCAACTCCCTCTCTGTTTGGTAATACTACTCCATTGTTTGGTACGGCACAAGCTACAAATTCACTGTTTTCATCTCCATTTGTTTCAGGTACTTTCTTGGACTATAGTTCTTCATAGTCATCTTACTTTCAAGTATTAACAGACTATGTAGTTGTTTTAGATAGAAAATTGTTTTGGAAATCACAGTAGAGAAGATTGTTTTGGAAATCACAGTTTCAGTTTCGATGGCTGACGGACAACAGAACACATAGGAATTAAAAGATCAAAATTAGGGTTTTGTGGGAGAACTAAAAGAAAGAAATTAAAGCCAAGGGAGAGGTTTAAGGTTTTAAGGTTCAACTGAGGTTGAAAAAGAGTCAAGGTAATGTTCAATATAAATATGGTGACACACAAACACCACAAACGAAATGTAAGAAGAATAAAATGTACACATGTGAAATATAAATAAAATAATGGAAAAAATGTTGAAATGTATTTTCTAATGTAATTAAAATAATTTATCACATGCAATAAGTGTTAAAGTATTATGCCATTTCTGAAATATTTTATTAACTTGGACCAGTCTCACATTAAATTTGTAGAAGTAGAGAAGTAAAACTTCGTAATTCTTATCCCATATTACTCATCAAATAAGTAAAAAAGAAGAGGTGAAGCTTCTCATTATTAATCGAAGCCAAACTTGCTGCATTGCAGGCCCCTATTTGTCCTAAATTGGACTTTTTAATTGGAGTGACCAAGTTTGGGTTGTAAATAAGGAACCAAATAATCAGTTTAGTTAAAAATTTTAAATTGGTTTTAATAGTATTAATATTTTTTTAATTTTTAAGAGAATTGATTGAACCATGTGATCATTAACTGATTCACATAGGCAGATGATTCTATACTGGTTTTCTGGTTCAAGTATTGGCTTTTTGAAAATATGATTTTATGGGGTAGTTTGAAATGGTTGGAAAATTAAGTCTCTATTTTCCCAGCCTCACCAGCTCACCAGCTGATAGGGATGAAAATAAGTTAGGTCATGTCAGGTCAGATTTTAATATATACGTTGATCTTATATTATAAAATTAAAGTCAAAGTTTGACCTATTATCTATTATAAACTTTTTTTTTATAGGTTGACCTTTCTAAAACTTGACCTAGCTTATTAACTTATTTAAAAGCCTATTTATATTAATTTAATTTTAAAAAAGTCAATATATTTATTTTTAAATATAATTTATTTAATATTATTAAAATTTAAATTTAAAAAAATATAGGAGAAAAAGTTAATTATTTTTTGTTATGGAGACAATTCATGCGTAATCATGTATGTTGACCTATGCTCACCACGTATAGGTTGTAAACTTATAAACCTATAATGAAAAAAATAATTGTATAAAAGAATTTTTATATATTGATAATTTATTTTTGCTTTATAAATTTATTTGTTTATTTATATTTTTAATAATATATATATAT